TGGGGCTGCGAGCTCTGGCCGCCGGGACTGCGGACGGGCCTTGGAGCGGTGGGGTCTCCGGGCTCACTGTGGATTGGGGTCTTTCTCGTTTCATAGGTTCCCTTGTCCCTGAGCTGCATTCCCTATTCACTAGGAACGCGTGGGCGGCCACCTCATCCTCCACCTTCCCTGGCTCACCGTGCGGGGAACGGGGGCATCCAGGAGAATAGGGGGCGTCTAGGGGACACATCCCTGAGGAGAAGAGGCGCGAGCCAGGCAGCAGGACAGGACCCGGCGGGCCTGCCCAGAGGGCGCGTGTGGCTCGGGCAGGAGAGAGCCCCACACGGCAGGAGAAGTGCCCGTGGGACTAGAGCGTGGACAGTGGCACGTGGGAGAGGCCGGTCGGGCTGAGCTGTATTCTAAGAGCCGGGGCGTCACTGACTGGCTTTGAATTAGAAAGTGATAATATTTGCATTTAAAAAATATCATGCATGCTACAGCTAGAGGAGAGATTGGGGTGAAGCAGGAGGGGATGAGGGTTGGTGAGGAGGCTCTGGGGGATCCTGGTGGCGGGTGACAGTGCAGGTGGCCAGCTGCCCAGCAGGCGGGGGGTGCGGGGGGGACGAGGCGGCTGCCTGCTGCTGTGACAGTGATGCTGCGGAGAGGGATCTGGCCGTGCAGGTGGGCGCGCTGTCACAGGTGGCCAGTCACCACGCAGACGGACGGGTGAGTTCTCTGACGGAGCCATGCCACGTGGTCATGGCGAGGCTGAGTGGTCAGGAGGGGCCCCTGGGAGATGCCACCTGAATTGAGACCGAATGACCAGAAGCCACTCAGAGAAAATCCAGAGAGCGCTTTCCAGGAAGTGGGCAGCAGGGACAGCACTCGGGCGGGAGGGTGTCTTGTGCTGGGAACAAAGGCATTGGCCTTAATGAGAGGCCGTGCCGGGTGGGCATGTGGGCCTGAGCGGGTCAGGACCCTCCTTGGCGTGCGGGATGAGGACGGAGGCAGTGGTGAGGGTGCTCTGCATCTTATGGAACCTCCGCTGTCGGGGGAGCGGGGGAGGTTGGAGGCAGGGACGGGCCTGGAAGTGGCTTTTCCAGTACACAGCTGAGCACACGGCCCAGGCACCTGTGTGGGACCCGCAGCCGAGCACACGGCTGTCACTGTGTACTTTGTACCTGACCTCGGGGCATCATCAGGTTATGCCCTCTTCACAAATGAAAAGGCGAAGGAAGGAAAGACAAAAGGAAAAGGCCGCTGAGAGCGGTAACATGGGAATGTAATTTGGGGCCGAATCTGACGGCTGCATCGCGAAGCTTTTCCCGAGGGTCCCGGGCCGCGAGGAGAACGCGGACAGAGCTGCGCTGGAACTGATGGTGACTTTTGCACCAAGGCATTCTGTGTGTCAGCAGGAGGCGGTCAAACGCTGAGGCTGATGAATACTATTGATCAGACATTGTTTTCCCAGGGGATCTGCTCCTTTCCATTTGAAGCCGCTGCAGCCACTTCGTGTCATTTGCTCCGTCACTGGGCTGTCACTGTGAATAGGAGGCACTGCCCTCGGGTCCCACTCAGGTGCCTGGGCTGTGCCCTCAGCTGTGGGTCCCACTCTGGTGCCTGGGCCGTGCCCTCAGCTGTGGTCCCACTCAGGTGCCTGGGCTGTGCCCTCAGCTGTGGGTCCCACTCTGGTGCCTGGGCCGTGCCCTCAGCTGTGGTCCCACTCAGGTGCCTGGGCTGTGCCCTCAGCTG